TCCTACGGTTGTGCACAGCTCCACAGTGCTCTGGGGTGTGCACGTTCCAGTGGGTTCCACAGTGCTCTGGGGCACACATGGCTCTGTGCAAATCACACTTTGGGATGTGCAGAGATCCCCGCATGTAACCGAGCATTGATCGGGGCAGGGATCACTGATGATCACATCTTGAGGACAGCAGGACTCTTCCGTGCAGGTCTTGAGCACCTCGAGGGTACAGGGCTCCACAGTTGAGACTGGGTGCTGCAAAGTGAGGCTTTCCATGCAGGTCCCAATTGTCTCCTGGATGCAAGGCTCCACCAGTGAGATTGGGTGTTGGAAGGGGAAGGTCTTCACAGAGGTTCCAACTGTCTCAAGGGTGCAGGGATCCATTGCTGAGGTTGGATGCTGCACAGAGAAGGTTTCCACGCTGGTCCTGGCTGTCTCAGGGATGCAGGGATCCACGGGAGAGGCTGTGGGCTGGAGCGGGAAGCTGGTCTCTCCCTTGCTTTGAGGGGCATCACAGGGTATTGCTGTTGGGCATGTGCAGGTGGTGGTGCAAGAGTCCCAGGCAGTTGTGGGCACAGGACAGCTGGCATCCTTGGTCATGGGAACGGCAGGAGGTGGGCAGATAGGTTCAACCTGGGGACAAGCATCCAGGCAGGTGGCTGCATCCTGGCATGGGCAGGGGTCCACCTGGAAAGTCTGCTCAGGACAGGGGTGTGAGTCCTGCACAGGGCAGGCGTCCAGGTCCACCACGGCACAACACGGTGGGCAAGTGTCGGTGTGCGTAACCTCCCCCGTGCAGGCAGAAGGGGGTAGGCAGGGCAGCTTGCACTGGAAAGACATCTTCTTGCACTGTTGGCAAGCCTGAAAGAAAAAAAGCATTTTGATGTCTTACTAACCCAAAGCATCAGATGTTTCATTTTCTTGGTTGGTGAATTCTTTAGCAAGACGCTTGCAGTTTGTGCAGCATCTTGGTCTTGAAATAAGGAGAGAAACAGAGAGAAAAATTTGCTGTTTGTTTTTCAAATTCTGCAACTGTTCCTTATGAAAAGAAGTTTGGTCATTCTGCTTTTCTGTGTAAACTTCCAAACTCGGCTTTTCTTATTAAAATCTGTTTTCAGCCAACCAATTTCACCCTAGCAGCATTTTCTTGAGCAGATAGCAGTGGATTCGATTAACGTTTTCAGCAGGTTTATAAACCCCAAGTTAATCCCTTCTCTTTTCCTGAGATTTTCTCCTTGTCCTGAAGCTCCGTTGCCAGAGAACACCCATCCCACAGCAGCTGCAAGAAGTGCAGCTATCACTCTCCTACCTTCACCAGGGCTAAAAACAGTAACAGGCTAGACAGGTAAAAGAAAGACGTAGTTGTTCAGGTTTACCATGCGGATAGGCACGCTTACCTGAGACCTTGGTCGCTTCCGTACACAACGTTGCAGTCACTTCACCACTCGGATGATAACTATGTGCACAGGAGTTTCGGCTCCCGCCTGCCGTGTAGGCGCTCAGTGAGCAAGACGGTGGTTTAGCCCTCTAAATCCAGCACTGAGACAACAGGAAGAGCATCCATGGCAATTACAGCAAAGTAAGCGTGAAGGAAGAAGATTATTACTCTTTCAAAATTCTTATCACCAAGGAGGTTGAGAGCCAACAGACTATTTCCCCTACGCACCTGGTAGGAGTAATCTATTCCAGCAAACAGTAGAAAACTTAGATCTGTACAATCCTGAAGATACTTACCCAGCTCAATATCAGCAAATAAAGATGCCAAGCAGATGCAGCAACTTTAACCAGGGATTTGCCTTGTATATTCAAGAACCTGGCCTCCAGAGATGAGGTGCCCCAGGCACACAGACAAGCCACCCTTTGCTAACCTGGACCTGCTCCGCCTCTGCCCTGTGATGGATTATTTGAATAATTATTTTTCATGGAAATCAGCCATTTCCGTGGCTGTAGCACAACCTCGAGCGAGCCCAGATGGCTTGCGAATTCGTGTGTCCTTTTAGCGGGGCTGACGTCAGAGAAGAATTTGGGAAATGAGTGGACTCTGGGGCTTGTTCTCAAATAGTCGGCCAGTCATGGGTCAGTTTTTCCGTGACGGTAAAACATCCTCCAGCCCAACACATCATGCAGGCCATTAGAGACAGGATGGGATGTGGGATCTGGGGTATTCTTTTATTTTTAGCCGCATCTGACCTCTTTCTGTCGCTGCCACTGTCTTGTTCAGAAGTGGTGCTGCGGGTGGTAGCGTCCTGACGCGCTTCTGGAAACTCTTATATCATCACTAGTCTCTTGATGTTTTGCATTGTTTCCTAAAGCTCTGACTCAAATAGCATAACACTATGCCGTCGCCATGATGTTGCCTTTATCCTCATGCAGGTATACCCCTGAGGAGCAGATTGGTGATAAGAGGAGTGACCACCACCCTTTTCCCTTCAACTCACTGGTTTTCCGAAGTCAGCTGAATTACACTAAAGGTTAATTCAAATCATTGTGGTCAGCAGTGAGCTGGCAACCCAAGTGGTCACACATCCCAGATTTATTTATTTTCACTTCAATAACCAAAAGCCACTACGTTGGACACCACCGTGCTCAGCAGCATGAACACGCACATTTAAAGGGAGAATTGTGTGCAGACACAAGAACACACAATCGTCTCCAGATGATATATGCCCTCATCTCTGCCTGCGAGTAATACTGGTTCAATGCTTGTGTCACCAAGTGACTTAAGGCTACTTTGGAGTGAGCACAGAAAGACATTTCAGTCTTTGATCTCTTGCAGGCAATGCACTTGTTGGCTCTCTTATATCGAGGGATTTTCAGACAAGAACATCTTTACTTGACCACAATTGTGGCAGGTGGAAAGCAGTGACTCCGTGCTGCGGCAGTCGTGCACGGTTCGCTATCTGTCGTGAGCGGTGTATCTCAGTCTCTGTTTAGCCTGCTGTATGATAGAGCTGTGCACAGCAAACCAAAAAGGGCCACTACCATGGACGCTGGTGATGAAAGCACCCAACACAGATGGTTTGTCACCCTGGAGCATCCTTACGAAGAGTCGGGCTGCTGCAGGAGAAGTCCTGGAAAGAGCCCAAGTGACACTAAAGACCTTAACACAGTGGGAAGCCTTCCCTGGCTGCCTAACTGCCAAAATCCTAACAAATTTTGGTTATGCTGGCATACTGCACTTGGTTGAGGAGTAGAGATGTTACGAAGCTTCCCAGAAAACTTGAGTGCTCCCATGTATGGGGCTGCAGTCTCCAGTAGTTACAGGGGAGTGACTGCTCCTCTCTGGCACGTGTGAGACCACATCTGGATGCTGTGTCCAATTTAGTGCCCACAGTGCAAGACGGTCTCCAACAGACTGGAGCGAGTCCAGTGGAGACCACCAAGATGGTCCAGGGACCTTGAGGACATGATGGATGGGGATAGGCTGAAGGACCTGCTCGCCCTGGAAAGGAAAAGACTTAACTGAGATCCTGGGGCCCCTTTCAGCTATCTAAAAGTTACTAATGGAAAACCTCTTTTCAGAGGTGCCCAGAGTCAGGGTGAGAGGCAATGACGGCAAGTCATTTTGCGCTCGTCAGAGCAACCAAACTTGCACAGCAGAGCAGAACAAAGCTGCTCAGAGTCCTGTCCCAGTTGTAGCCCTGGTCTGTAGGGCTGTCTCAAGGGAAGGTGCAAGAAAATGGACCAAACTAACTTTTATCAAAACAAAGTTTAATCCTGAGGGGGATTGTTTCCAGGCTGTATCATCGGTTCTTTGTTCCCCATCCCCCATAGGAAATACATGGATTAGGAATTCAAGCTTGCAGGCAGCAGTCATAGTGTCGCATGTACCACCTCAGTGGCTAAGTTTCATAAAAAATTATAATGTAAGCAAGTAAATTAAGGACTGGAGGTGGAGCAGGTCTGGATTATTAAAAATTTTACTTCCATACCCCTGAGGTGTCTCACTTCCGGACACACGGACACTGAAATCATATAAAAGGATTCATATTGTAGTGTTTCTCAAACCGTTTTGGTTTCGTTTGCTAGTCGGTGGTGGTGAATTGGGTAAGTCTGTCTTGGCTTACTGGGAAGTAATGTAGTGGCTGGGGTTATTTAATTTTTAAATATTATCTACAGAAGCAAGTTAGAAGACTTATGACTGCTTCTGCTTAACGCGATTTGTGTATGGTACTTACCAAGCAGTTGAACTAAGGATAAATATTCATTCCCTCTTCTACCCGTCTTTATTTGCTGTGTGTTATGCAATTGCTGTGCTTTCTCCATCAAGACGTGTCTCAGGGTAGTTGAGAGTGGACTAACCTCTCTCTTTCCCCAATGTCATCGCTGCCCTGTTTTAACCAGGAAATTATTGGGTTTGAGAGAGATCAAAAGGCAAGGCTAGGACTTCAAAGGAAAAAAGTGGGAGGGAAGATAAGAAGTGGAGACTTGCAGGCTGCAAGGGTAAGCAATGCCTGGAAGGAAGTCTGGATGAGAAGAGCTAGGAGGACTTCTGTGGGAGAGGTGGGAAAGCAGCTGCACCGTGAGCGTCAGATCTTTTCCTTATGGAAGTTTTCCGTCATGAAGCCTCCGCTCACGTCCTCTAGCTGAGGACCTGCATGTCGACAGGGCACTGTCAGAAGCCTTGTAGTCTCCTTCTTGGGTGGAGGTAGGGAAGTAATGTCGATCCCAAACCCAGGGGAGCCGTGGACAGGTGGGGGCTGTCATGACTTCAGACCCTGCGATATAATCCAGCTGAGTCCAAGTAACAGCACTTTTCTTTCCTGCTTTGGGAAGGAGTTGTTTGAAACATACATGCAGCCAGTAGCTACAAACCTGTCTGAAACGCGTTCATGTGGATTTAATGCCCTGCTATGGAGTTCAGGCTGTTTTCCCAGTATGTTGAGCAGTATTCCGCTGGGAAAATGTATGGTTTAACTCAGTGTATAGAATAGCCTTGTGAAAGCTGAATGTCTCCATTTTCCACAAAGTATATTCCTTTCCTGCTTTCAGACATTGTTCCTCCCTCAAAGATGCTTCGCCAAAACGATTGCCAAGTGCGACAGCTCTGCATTCCGCCTCCCACCGTCTTGGTGAGGAGTTTTCCCGTGAAAAAATACGTGGATGCCTGTGGCACCGTCTGTGATATCCAGGGCTTGCCTCCGTGTGTGAATCCCTGCTGCTATACTGTGATTCCTCGGGGCACCACCACTTACGTGAACCTGGGTAATCTTGGTGTGGCGCAGGCTGCTGGCTGCGTGAATCCATGCTCCCTCGGAGTCTCCACGTGCGTGCCTCCACGCTGCGAGGACGTGACCCAGTGCACCACCGCGTGTGCGGAACCGTGCTGCTACAAAGTGACCGAGTGCACCACCAGATGCGAAGATACGTGCTGTGAGGAGGTGAACAGGTGCTCCAACAGGTGCGTGGATCCCTGCTGCAAGGAAGTGACCAAGCGCACCATCACATGTGTGGATCCATGTCGTGAGGAAGTTATCAAACGCACCACCACATGTGTGGATCCATGTCGTGAGGAAGTAATCAAGCGCACCACCAGGTGTGTGGATCCATGTCGTGAGGAAGTAATCAAGCGCACCACCAGGTGCGTGGATCCGTGCTGTGATGAAGTGACCAAGTGCACCACCACGTATGTGGACCCATGCTGCAGGGAAGTGACCAAATGCACCACGAGGTGCATAGATCCATGCCGTGGAGATGTCACCAGATGCACCACTAAGTGTGTGGATCCATGCTGCGACAGAGTGACCAAGTGTATTACCAGGTGTGTGGATCCATGCTGCAGGGAAGTGACCAAGTGCACTGCCAGATGTGTAGAGCCATGCTGTGGAGGTGTCACCAGATGCACTACCACATGTGTGGATCCCTGCTGTGACAGAGTGACCAAGTGTACCACCAGGTGTGTGGATCCCTGCTGTAGAGAGGTGACCAATTGCACCACCAGGTGTGTGGATCCCTGCTCTAGAGAGGTGACCAAGTGCACCACCAGATGTGTGGATCCCTGCTGTGGAGGAGTGACGAAGTGTGCCACCAGGTGTGCAGTTCCGTGCTGTGGAGGAGTGACAAAGTGTGCTACTAGGTGTGTGGATCCGTGCTGTGGAGTTGTGACCAGATGCACTACTAAACGTGTGGAGCCATGCTGTGGGCAAGTGACCAAGCGCACCACCAGGTGTGTGGAACCCTGCTGTGGTCGAGTGACCGAGTGCACCCCCAGATGTGTGGACCCTTGCTGTGAGCAAGTGACCAAGTGCACCACCACGTGCGTGGAACCCTGCTGTGAGCAAGTGACCAAGTGCACCACCACGCGCGTGGAACCCTGCTGTGAGCAAGTGACCAAGTGCACCACCACGTGCGTGGAACCTTGCTGTGAGCAAGTGACCAAGTGCACCACCACGTGCGTGGATCCGTGCTGTGAGCAGGTGACCAAGTGCACCACCACCTGTGTGGAACCCTGCTGTGAGCAGGTGACCAAGTGCACCACCACCTGTGTGGAACCCTGCTGTGAGCAGGTGACCAAGTGCACCACCACCTGTGTGGATCCATGCTGTGAGCAGCTGACCAAGTGCACCACCACCTGTGTGGATCCATGCTGTGAGCAGCTGTCCAAGTGCACCACCACCTGTGTGGATCCATGCTGTGAGCAGCTGACCAAGTGCACCACCACCTGCGTGGATCCATGCTGTGAGCAGCTGACCAAGTGCACCACCACCTGCGTGGATCCATGCTGTGAGCAGCTGACCAAGTGCACCACCACCTGCGTGGATCCATGCTGTGGGGGCATTCAGGCTGTGACCAAGTGCGTGGATTCCTGTCCCACCACCTGTGTCACACAAGTCACCCCCCTGTGCGTGGGTGTGTGCACCTCTGCCCGCGGCCAGCGCTGCTCCATCAAATGTGCAGATGTCTGCTGCCGTAAATCTTTGGCTCCTTGAGGGGCCATTGCCCTGTGGAGTCTCCAAAGGCTAAAGAATGGAACCGGTTTGCAGATCTCTGAACTTGCCAGCGCCTTTCTCACATTTTTGCTTTCTTAGTGCCCTTCCTGTCCTGGGAAGAGTAAAGTCCTTGAACGGTTTTCCTTATGTTCTGCATCATTTCTGCTGTACTTACCTCAAGAACAATGCCTTTCCTTGTATTGTGTAACTAATTGATTTTGTGCCCCCAGGAATATTACCTGGGAGAGACGTTCTGTAATTCTTCTTTGCACTGATGTGGATGAAAGAATTTCTGTGTTTGTTCTTTCTCACCATCTTCTTTTCTCGTGTGAAGCAATAAAAACCAATGATCTTGGCATCAGTTGTCTGCAAGTGTTTCCTTTGCTTTTGTGTTTCCCCAGACTCACACTTTCTCCTTTTAATTTCTTCCCAAAAGCGTGATCTCTGTAGAGTGGCAGCTCCTGATAGAATGCATGGGAAGGTCTAAGGCAATAGCCAGAGACCTGTGGCTCACCTGGGGTATCCAAGATCCTTGCTGGGAGAGGGGATGCTGTAGGTCACAAAGAAGCACCGCTCTCCCACGGTTTTGAAAAGACTTTGAAAACCCAACCGTTTACTGAAGGGCTCCTCCGAAGCTGGAGGAGCATTTCTGCCGCAGGCAGAAATGACATGTTCCATCATGAGCAATGGGTAAATAAGCTGCTAACAAGGGGAAGATGAGCAGGTCTGGGAGACTGTGCCTCGTGACTTTGTCACCCATGTGTAAGAGGTCCTATCTCAGCCTTTTGCAATCGTCTTCTGTTTTCTTGTCTCTGGTGGCAATCGGACAAGCCTCGTCGCTTGAGGAGATTGACATGGGATTGTCATCCCCACTGAATTCTGCAGAAACCTTATTAGTATTAGCAAGGTGTCTTGGACAATTTTGGTAACTCTCCATGAAGATCTGCTCCCAGGATCCCAGTGCTTCCTCCTTAGCACCAGGTTTGTTTGCAAATTGCTCGTCCAGCAGTAAGCAACATCCTTGGGGACTCAAAGCCACCCTGTTAAACAAGCCAAGGGTAGTGCTCTGCAGGTTCCCAGAGCAGAGATGGTGCAGAATGGGATTGGCCTTAGCAGAAACAGCCGAAGGGAGGAGAGCTGGGAAGGCAGACCGCGGGGGAAGCTGGCCCGGCTGCTGAAGCAGCAGATGTGGGCGCAGCTCTGTCTTCGAGCACCCACTGGCTCGTTCTTTAAAGATGCCCCAGGGCACGTGGCTGGTGACTAACCTGCAATTATCACCGTCTCGCTTTTCCTAGTAGAGGAGTCGGACCGATAGTGGGACGCGATTAATCATACCCAGTGGACGTGGCATCGCGTGCGGGTTGGGGAGATCTGGCCTCGCACAAATCCTTCCACCCTCATGGCTCTTCTCTTTCTGCCCTCCTCCCTCAAGAGGTTGTGGCAGAGCCCAGCTTTCACCACTGGTTGTATGGCACTCGCCGCGGCGGGTGTCTGGACATTGGCAAGTGCTCTGGGCATTACCTAAGCATAAATTCTCTACAATAGAAATACCAAACCAATTGAGGCTTCTTAGTCACCTCTCTGTGGAGGTCTGATTTGACCCCAAAACTCCTTTAAAGCTCATTAAGAGGTTCTGTGCAAGCAGTTATTTCCTTTGCTCCTGCTCCAAAACGGAACAATTTTCTGGGAAATAAGAAACTATAGGTGGAAAACATGGTATTTGGCTAAGATTTTCTCTTAAAGTATTTCTCTGTAGCATCCTTCTGATGGCATGATGCTTGTGTTATATTTAATCCTTCATATGAACATAGAATTTCAGATTTTTAAAAGCCTGGGACCCTTAGCAGAGAGCAGATGCTTCATTTCCAGGTGAAAATCACAAGATTGTGCCATAGGAAGAGAAATAGAGGTGTTTCCTCCTTGAACACTTGAATGTCTAAAACAGTTATAACGCGAAGAAAATTGCTCTTCAGCAAAAGCAAATGCAGTAGGCCCACGGTTCTTGCTCTGTCAGGCAGTGTGTTCTGAGCTCTAAAAGGTATTACTCAGAGATCAGGACACAGTTTTATTTTAAAAATCCAAAGGAAAGCTAGATTCCCTTTCTAAAATAGTGGAAAATCAAAGTAAGTATCCGCAAAAGTCAGAAGGCAAAAGATAAAACAGATGAGTGTTTTTTTTTTTTTTTCCCATAATCACAGCTAGTTCCTCTTTGTCTGATTTAATTGCATTCAGATGCTCACTTATCATTCTTCACGGAGCACTCACCTTCCTGAGTAAACAGGAAAAGAGGCGGATAGTGCCGTGTCTGGGTTCCTCTCGGTCCCAGAAGTAGCGATCTAATTACTCGATCAAATAATCCCTAGGGCATGGACTAGACAAGCCACTTGTTTTCATGTGAGGCTAATTGCATTCTACACTCAGTCCCCTGGCATCTCAGCTATGCCACGATTTCCAAAGCTGGAGCGACAGACCAGCAGCCTGGAGACCAGCCCCACTTGGGAGCTGCCGTTGGTGCTGGATCACACCCTCGCGCCTTCCCCAGCTAGTTGTGGTGGGGAATGATGAGAGGGGGAAAGTTGGATGTAATGAAGCCCCACACTTCAAGATTTAATTGCAACAAAGTGCAGGGGAGTGGGCTGGGAAGGCCTTGCCATCCTGAGAATATGGGGACAATCCTTGGTTTCTATGAATATCCTTTGCTCATCAAAATGTGGGGAGGGTACTAGATGGGATGATGCACATAAGCAAAATGAAATCCCTGATGCCAACCAGTGCTGGATGCCACAGACGAAAAAAAGCTTACTTAGGAGGCTTTTAGGTAAAGCAAAGGATGCGAAGAAATCCAGAGGTATCATATTTTCAAAGCAAAGTGTTCAGCGGTTTATGAAATAGGTATTTTTTTTTCTACAGAAATCCTGCCGAACAGCCCAAAACGGTGCATATCCAAACAGCTGCGCAGGGAAAAATTTCAGTTTGAGATGTTTCCATCAAAAATCATGACACCTGCGTACCCTGAAGTTTTGTTTTTATGTTAACAATCGTGTCTCTGTGACCGTGTAGTGTTTCATGTCTACAGGGAGAATTTTTATAGCTGTAGGAAAATGGTCCCTATCTTGATGTGCCTCGATCTTTGGTAGCTCTTGATGGTGAAAAATGAAGTCTCTCTTGGATTATTGGGAGCCGAAGGTGTTGATCATATTCTTTTCTACTGAGTTTTTTCAGAAATATGCTCCTGAGCACCAGAATAGAGTGCTCGGGGGGATCCTTTTCTGCAGCACCAGACAAACCTCTGGGTAGAGAAGTCTTTCTCCTCTTGGGCTCCAAGAACCTCTTTTGGTTCAGGTTTATGCTCTGTCATGCTCTTTTCATCAAAGAAGCACTACCCATCACACCAGCCTCTGGTTCTGCAAGAGACCTTAACCTTTAATTAAATAGATCCCAGAAGTGTCAGATTTGGAAAATCACGTCTTTTCAGCTCCTTTGCCAAAGGAGCATGGCTGCGGAAGGATGTTGCTCTGGGGTCCTGACTCACTGAAGTTAATGTGACTAGCCAATTGACCAAATTGCTCATAAATATGAGAGATCTACAAATAAGTGTCAATTAAGAAGAATAATCCAGCCCTCTGATGTTCCCACTTATTAGAAAAGCAGATCAATTTATATCTCCTAAAATGTCCATTTCTCTTAGAAGTCGTTACAATTTCTTGCTAATCATACATAACAATAGGGTGTACAACAAGGCACTATAGAAAGGGAAATGTAGGACTGATCCTCAGCCCTGGTTTTAGAGCCCTAGGAAAGCATGAAGAGCTGTTCAAACTGGACTCTGAGAAACTCCTCAGCAAGATAAGTGTTGGAGGTTGTTGTTGTCAGGGGACCTAAAGGTGCTGGAGGACAATTGCTTGCTCAGCATCACCCAGCAGGGTTAGCTCTAGGAGGAGAAGATGGGGAAAGATTAATCTGTCAAAATTTTAGACACTTAAACCTAAGCTAGTTGCTCTCTGTTTGTTTCACAATCTGCAGGATCTGTTTGAAGCAGTTGAGGGTGTTTCTCCTCACCCTGAAGCAGATGTACAAGACAACCAAACCACACTGTACCAGTCCCTATTTCTTCCCATCATCTATAAAAGCTGCCAGAGGAGCAGTGTGAGTCTAAGGTAGAGAAAATGCACACGATGCAGCGTCCAGCAAAGGACGAGGAATGGAAAAACTGAATGAACCATGAGGTGCTGCTGGGAGGATGTCAAGAGCAATGCAAATCCAACAGCTCACACAGGCTTAGAGCAGGAATTCCAGTTTCCCCATGTAAACGCTAGAAACGAACCAGTTCCGATGCCTGTGATTCTCCAGCGGCACTCCTGGTCTCCAGTGTAAACAGGATGCACTGCTCATGCTGAACGGGTTGGGTGGTTTGGGTTTTTTTTTGTCCGTTTAGCATTTCTCTAAGTGATCTCATTGGGGAATTCGGTCACGTAAGTGTAGTCAGATGATCACATTCCACCTCTGTGATTGGAATATCTCAGAGAAATAAAGATTTTCCGTGCTGCGGAGCCGAGTGAGATACCATGATCAGCAAAAGGCTTCAATACCGTCATATGGAGTCCTTGGCCTAAATCCCACTTAAAATGAAGCCCTTTCCATTGCTTCGGCAGTGAAAAATGCCTTTAAAATGAGTGCCCCTTCACTTTGCCCTGAACGGCTTGAAGAAGTCCTCAAAGTAACTGGAGTCGTGTCCCCATCGGCATTGCCAAGCATGAATGTTGTTAATAGAGGGTGGAGAGGAACGGGTTGGGTGCATTTAATGGTTAAAAAGGAATTAGAGAAACAGATACCTCAACAGTTTGTGGAAGCGCTGGTGGCCCACTGTGGGAGTAACCTGTTTCTTACCATGAGAATTAGGACACGATATTTCTCATAGTAAAATCAGATCAATTGTCCATCTTCCCTAATAATAGCTATCCATTCCTACTGCATTGAAAAAAACCTAAGGTATCATTCAGACATTTATGGAAATAAGGAGAAGAAAATATCCGAACATATTAAATCTTTTTTGAAAAGCAATTAATCCAGTACCTGATTTTTTTTTAATTACTGTGTCATTCCCATTGGGAACCACATGACTTGGGTATTAGGTGGATGTAGAATTTGCTCAGGATCACATGTTTTTCCTGGAAGAGGGTTTCCATCAAAAAATAGGATGTAAACAAATATGTAAAGCATGTATAGGTGTAGCCTGCTGAGGTAGTTAGTGGTCAGGTGTCCATACCCCTGGGCTCCCTTGTTTCCGGAGATGACGCCGTACAAGCCATATAAAAGGTTTGCATTTTGATGCTCACACACACCAGTTCATTTGACTTCTCCCTCACTCACCTGCACTGGTGAACTGGTAAGTCTTTCTTGGATTTATCAGGGTATAGTGCGATGGTTGTGTTACTTGGTTGGTGTGGTCAAGACAATATACTACTGATCACAGGAGAGCTTTGCTCCTGGTGTTCCTGTTACAGGGTTTGTCCTGGAACGGGGAGAGGATGTTCAATTCTAAATTTTGAGTTTACTCTTCCTTGCAAATGTTGCTTGCAAATGTCCTATCACCTCTTCGGAAACTGCGACCGTTTCTCATCCTCCTTCGTATTCTATCTTCATTAATTTTTTCATACCTCATTAAGTCTGGAAATTAAATAAATTAGTGGATGCTGCAGAGTAAGTCTTGGGACTTCAAAAGAAATGGGTGGGAAGAAGCATTATCTGGAAGAAGGAAGCTGCAGAATACCTGAGAGCAAAGCTGCAGGAGACATCTGGGAGAAGCTGAGATGTGAAAACGAATTGAAAATAGGAGCTACAACCTCTGGGCCAACCCTTCGCTCATAAAAGGATGAGCCCATTAATTCTGATACTTCTCCCATGACGTACCATGATATACAGCTGGAGGATTTGGGATAGTATCTGAATTTTTGGTCTTTGAGCTTTATCCTCGAGCATTAGCAGCTCAACATCTACGCCAAGGGGGATGTGCTCTGCGGTGTGCGTGGGGAATTGGAGAAGTGAAAAGCAGAAGATGGGCCCTGGAACGTCTGCAGATGTAATTAAGAAAATAAGGAAGTGAACTATTTCCATGTTACGGCTTCTACAAAGTTTAACTGTGGGCAATTCTGTAAAATTCAGGGTTTATGGCTCTAGTCTTCCTTACCGTGATGCCTGCAGGTTCCCAAGAAAGGAAAGAATATTCTGGCAGTGTTAGTCAGATATGTCTGAATCCAGAAATCATTCTCACATGCAATTTTTTCTAACAGTCCTTTATCAGTCCAACAGCTGACTGCTGTATACGTTTCGAGAGTTCAGGTTATGAATTGTGGCTGAAGGAGAAAGGACGAGTGTCTTGATTTTGCATCTCTCTTTTTCTCTTTGTCTTTAGCCTTACCAGCACCTCAGCAGGATGTCTTACTACGAGCAGTGCAAGCAGCCCTGCCTGCCCCCTCCCACTTGCGTGCAGAAATCCACCAAGTGCGCGGAGCCCTGCAAGACGGTGTGCGTGGAGCCCTGCGGCACCGTCAGCGTGACTCCGTGCCCCACGCAGTGCGTGGAGGTCTGCCAGACGCCCTGTGCCACCCAGTGCACCACGGACTGCAGCACCCAGTGCGTGGAACCCTGCCCCGTCCAGTGCGTGGACGTCTGCCCCCCTAAGTGCATCGACGCCTGCATAACGCAATGTGCCACCCAATGCCCAACCCAATGCGCCGTCCAGTGCGTGGATCCCTGCATCACCCAGTGCTCCACCAAGTGCGTGGAGCCCTGCCCGGCCCAATGTGTGGAGGTGTCTGCCACCAAGTGCGAGACGGTGTGCCTGGAGCCGTGTGGCACGGTCTGCTCTCGCCAATGCTGATCGCCTTAACACCCGAGCCTCGCGTGCAGCCCTGGTGCTTGGAAGCTCCGTAGGCTCCGCAGAATGAAAAACAAGTTACAGACCCATTGGCAACGTACCGAGACCTCTCCTGATCTGGTTACCCCATGCTCTCTTCATTTTCTCTGAGTATTTCCATGATACTTCTACTGCTGACATCTTGGTAACTGCAGTTGGCCAATATTATGGCGCTAGACATCTTGGGAAGTTATGTAGCCATGGCTGTGCTGTAAGCAGTTGATGTTGGAAGGTGTCCCCCCTTCTATTCTTTAATCCTCATCTTGTCTTTTAATGTATGTCCTCTTGGCTTTTAGTGTCTATACGCAGCAATAAAAAATGACCATCGATGGCATCATTTTTCTTCTGTCTTTATTTCGTCTCCCCGTTTCCATATCTTCGGAACTAAGGACATCTTCCTTTAGTTTTCCTTCTAAAAGCTGTTGTGATTGTGAAGGGTTTGTGCCTGCAATGCAGCGCTGTGAACAGAGGGAGCATGCCTTATAACGTGGAACAATGCCTTCTAATACCATAAACAAAACATCATCCAGCCAATACTTTTCTGACAGATATTAAAAAATTAGCTTTGTCCTACTTGAAAATGACGATAGATATTTACTTTTCACCTTTATTAATGACATAATTTTGATCTTTACACCTCTGGATTTTGGAGGCAAATCTTAGAAATTGTTAAAAGGTAAATTTAAGTGGAAGAAAGCCCCAAATCTAAGAAAGAAGGAATTGTAATGTTTTTACTGGGATTTTAATTATTTCTTAAAAACATTCTGATGAAGATGAAAATGGTATTTTGATTCATTCTTCACATGATTCTCATTGACTAAATGTAGAAAGGAGGGGATTTGGCTTCAGGAGATAAATCTTTTTGTGGTTCAGGAACAGGTCTGAGCCCTGTAAGACTGCAGTTTGCTGCAGATACTTCGTGTGGTTTTGGGCAGGTCTCACTCTTGCAGTTTATCTGTTCCTCATCTGCAAAGAGGAGAAGTCACATCCCTGACTGATAGAGTGGTTGGCATTTCGGGTTCATCAACACCTGGAAGGTACAATAACATTTTAATTCACTTATAAATGCATCTTCTTTATTTGTAGTCATAATTTTGAAACTGAAGGAGGCTCATTGTCTGGAGGGATGTTATACTCGTTCAAATGCTGAGTTTCAGAGACAATGCTCCCATTGTTTTCCGTACTGTGCATGTGACTTGCTTACCTCTGCCTCCATGACGGCCACACAATTTCCATGTCTGGGATGTAGAGAATTGCTATCCACCTACCATATCATTATGGCAAGGGTGGAGAATATCTGATCTAGAAAATAAAAGAGTTATATTTAGGTGTGTGTAAACACTGTTACCAAATCAGCTTTTAATGAAACCTTGTGTGCAGGTGTAGAGAGTTTGTCAGTAGATTCCTTTTTGTGTTTTTTTCTGTCAACACCAAAAGGTGACACCATCAAACATGAATAATGATAGGCAAAACATGTCTCAGTAAGGCAAACAAATTCTGCACCTGAACACACCTTTCAGGTCAGACAGATGAAGCAGGGGTAGGTGGACCAGGTATTCAACAGCACGAAAATGGAAGGAGCGTGCACCTCTAATTCCTACTGTTGAATGCAAACCTTTGGGGATTCAGCAATGGACTCTGTCTCGCTAATAACTGCCTGCTGCTGCCACACGTGTAGCGCCAGTGTCCACTCTCAGGCATGGAAAAAGTCTTAGTCAGGAAGTCATAAGCAGCTACTAATGAGATCCATCCCATAGGTTAGTCACCTATGACTGATTTCCATGCATCTTCATCCAATTCTATCAGTTGTGTTAGTCATTTAAATTTTTTTCTTCTCTCCCTCTCTGCTGTGGGCTTTGCACCAGGTGCAGTAACCATAGACGGAACAGTTCTCTGGAGCAAGGTTGCCCAGGGAAGTTGTGGCTGCCCCATCCCTGGAAGTGTTCAAGGCCAGGTTGGATGAGGCTTTGAGCAAGCTGGTGTAGTGGAAGGTGTCTCTGCCCATGGCAGCGGGGTTGAAACTACATGATCTTGAAGGTCCCTTCCAACCCAAACTGTTCTGTGATTCTATGGGAACACACAGCTCTGAAAACCCCGGAAGAAAAGGCAGGAGGGACCTGTTGGTTTGTGCTCATCACGCTTCCTGTGCCTGCGCGTTGCAGAAGCCCTGACACACTGCTCTCCTATGCACCTGTGGTTAGTTCTGAGCATTGCTAAGATTCCTCTGTATATTATACAACAAATTAGTGACATTTGGTCCATGTCAGCCTTGAGGTCCTTAAAACTCCTGGTAAATCGTGCATTAATGAGGGACATTAAGATATGGGATGATGTTGCTTCCATTAGTACCTTCTGCTCTCCTACACCCAACGGAAGCCATGTCCACCATTTCTCCATGTATTAAACATCTGTCATGGAGGCTGGGCTGTAATTCATGGGGCTGAATATGACCCCACAGGGCGTAACATTGAGGAATACTCATGGGAGGCTTGAACTACCTTTTCCATTAGAGCTAAAGACGCTTTCTTTCTTCCTTCCTTGGAAAAATTTCAAGAGGATCAACATTTTTCTGAAACACGGATCCATCCTCAGAAAAAAAGAGATTCTTCCACAATTTCAGCAAGCCAAGCTCGTTTTTTGTAAAAAAGATGTTTTTGTTGCTTCAGTGAAAAGCCATGTGAAAAAGGAAGAAAAAATAAGGGGAAAACTTTCTAACTTCTTAGCAATATAAAGTGTTTCATTCCCCTTTCGGGGAAGGAAAATAGAGAAGGACAGAAGCAAAACCCCTAAACACAAGGTGTCAAATACAGACCTACTGGTCTTCCCAGGAGCTGGGATGCAGCACACAGACCTCCCCCACCCCACTCAGATTTATGCCAGCTGGAGATCTGTCCTGCTGATCACAGACAAAACTATCAGGAAACATCTAAACTTTATGCAAACATGTTCTACTAACTCCAGAGAGGATCTGAGTCGTCTCCCAAATCTGAGTTCAGTTGTGGGATCTTTGCCCAAGGTCGGGACAAGATTAATTATTAATAAATTAGCCAGTTATTACCAGATTGGGTGTGTCTTGCATTAAAAACAACAAATCCCCCGCACCTGAGAGAGAAGGCATCTCTCACAGACCTTGACTGAAGTCCAGGTGTATGGAGGTGTTAGTGGAGCAGGTTCTAGTTGTGAAAGATTCTGGTCATCAAGTTAATCTGTTGTCATCAGCTCCTGGGGTTGACTTCTGAAAGCGTATAAAAGCCTCCTGTTTGGGAGGCTGATTAACCTCAGTGGCTTCTTCCCTTCCTCTGGCAGCAGGAGACACCAGGTAAGTTCTTCTATGCTTGTATAGATGAGAGCTTCTGGTGCTCTGCTTTTGTTAGACAAGGTGATTTTTTTTCTTTATTTTGTTTCTCTAGTAGGAATTCCAGCTTGTCTGCTTGACAATTTCACCTCCATAAAGGTGAAACCCATATTATGTTATTTTAAGACTTTCTGGGGCTCCAGACAGTGGCTTACTGACTCTTTGGACCAGTAAACCCTTGTCAACCCTTGTAATTTTTTTCCCAGCTGATAAGAATTCTTGTGGATAACCAACAGATATTGAGTATCAGCTATCAAAGGATGGCATCCACTGGCACCTGTTTTGCATCTGTTGAGTAGTCATGGGCAGCTCACTGTGGTGTCCTGGATCTCTGAGCTTCACTTTTTTATATAAAATCATATCCTCACTGAGCAGGAGGACAGTTCACCTGCATTTAATGGCCAGAGACATGGCTCCTGCTCTGAGGCTTTCAATGAACTAAGCAGAGAAGTGGCTGTTGCTGGAAGAGACTTACCAAATTATTTTTCTCCCTTTCAAACCCATTTGCAACACTGACACGTCACCAGCTTTCTGCTTCTCTTCCTCTAGTTTTAAATATTGCTCTGAAGTTCTCCTTGAACTAAGCACACTTTCATTAAAACTCATGTTGCTTCTCAGCTTGTCAAAGTTAGAATGTTGAGAAAACAGTGAGCAGAGGGGAAGAAGGAAAAACTCTCATTATTTCTTTTCCTTCCACCTCTGTAGCCGTTTACCTGTTTGGATCACGACTTTTAGGATGGTGCTCTTCCTTTTATATTCATTTTATGCTTATATACAGTTATGCCCTGAGGCCTCAGCAGAGTGCCTGATCTCTACAGAGGCTGCCTGATGGGAGCCCAGAAAAGCAACATGGGACAGCTACAGCAAACTGGAGTCGCTGACACAAATCTGGTCTGAACAGCATTCTCCTCAGGGATTTCCAAGGGTTTGTTTTTTGCTGATAGGATTGATTTTTAATGGCTCTTTGCTGTTGGTTTGATGTCAAAGCCAAAGAACTGACTGAAACAGCGATGTCCAGAAAGGAGAAGTGTGTAGGGCTTAACTGAAATGGTGCCTTGGTTTTCTTCCAGGCTTAGCAAAGATGTCTTCCCAGCAGAAACAGCAGCAACAAATACCTTCAAAATGCCAGGAAAAGTGTCCTCCAAAGTCGGTGGAGCAATGCCAGGCCCCAAAAGGGCAAACCAAGTGTCCTGTGAAGAGCATCCCACAACAGCAGCAGCAGCAGCAATGCCCAAAGCAGAAGTAGCACTAACAGCAACGGCCACCAAGTGCCGCAAAAGATGCAAATGCTTATTTCTGAGCTCTCCTTCCGCCATCTGGCTCTGCCAGAATAGATAGATATTTGCAGCGTGTCTCCTTTGTTTGCAAGCAGAAATTAGAGAGACGCAATTCATTAACTGGGATTTATTCATCCT